AAAAATAGACCTAGAAAAAAAGAAACAAGAGAAATTAAAGGCTATAGAAGAGAAAGCAAAAAGAAAGGAAGAGAAAATAAAATTACGAGAAGAACAAAAAAGACAGAGGGAGGAAGAAAACCAAAGGCGAAAAGAAGACAGAAAGAGGAAACTGGAAGAGAAAAGACAGCTGAAAGACAATTCAAAAGGGAAAGGGCCGAAGAAGAGAAAGACAAACAAAATGGATGATTCTGAAACAGATACAAGCATTGATGAGTCTCAAATGATTTTCGATGACGAGTCGGAAGATGATTTTGAGGATTTAGATCTAGATTTAGACTAGACTAGTCTAGACTAGAGTCTATTTCAGAATGCAATTTTTTTTATTAGTTAGAATTAAATAAAAATCAACCATGAATGTCATGAAAAAATGCATGAGTTATTTGTTTTAATGTTGTAGTCTAGTCTATATGTGTCACATTTATGTATGTTTTTATGTGTGTATCTGTGTGAGTGTATTGGGAGATCCTTAGCTTTAAATCACAACTGGTTTCAGTGAGGGCACCTTTGTGGTTGCACTGTGGTCAGGTGGTTGCACTTAGGGCAAATCATTGGTTGCAGGGCGGGCAGGTGGTTGCTTAAGGGGCTACTCAGACGTAAGCATTTTTTCCTATTATTATGCTAGTTATCTGCTAGAACATCTCCTAAACACTGCCAAGTCAGTGATTTCACTTGGTGCCCTCTAAGCAACCAATAATTTTTTTTTTTCTCCGATCATTAAAAAGTTGTGAGGAAGAGTTGACTCGTGGTTGCATTGGGGCAAGTTACTCTACATTTAGGTACATTTATTATTATTTAATTATTACTAATTTTAGTTTTTAGTCTAAACTAAAATTTAGCTTTTAAAAACTAATTTAATATTTGAGGTTAAAGTCTAAGTCTAACGTTATCACCGCCAGAAAGTACTGTCAGCTCAGCATCTCCAAACAGCCTTCCTAACTGAAATTTATTCATATTTTGGTGAGTAGGCCATGGCATGGTCATGTCATTAGTCTTAAGTAAGTCATTTGTGTAAGATACAAATTTAAAAATAAAAATGTCCATAAATTGGGAGAATAATTTATTATAACTATAGCCAACTATAACTTATTATAACTTTAAATAAGTAAATAAGAAACTCTCTATGGGCATGGGACTGCCAATCAAGATAGGTTAGTATTCGTTTAGTAGGAAGTTAGATTATTATCACAGTTTTTTTAAAACTGACACACAGTGGCCACACCCCTTTCATTAATGAAGTGTCTACATGTCCTGCGGCCGGACGAATAATTCTCGAGATATTCGTCCGGCGACCAGGACACATGACCGCCATATCAAATTTGGGCCAGATATCTGTCCATCAGCCTTGTCATGTGACCGCCAATAGTCTATCATAAAACTGACGGAGATTCACGGAGGGCGACAAGTATACACTTCATTTCAAGAAATAAGTGGGGGGAATGCATACTAGAGGGAAGAAATACTGAGAGCGAAATAGAAAGGATAAAAATGATATTAACAGTGATAAATAATTAAGGCGGGTAGGTCGAAAGTTCACAAAGAAATAGACCCTACATCTTAATATAATGCCAAAATAGTGTCCTGTTAGGGTAGCCTACTTCTCACGCAATATTAATAGCCTAAAATAAAACTTTTTTGACAGTCAACTGGGAAGTATTGGTCTTATTTTGTTTGATTCATATTTTAAATTTAGGCTACTAGGGAGAGCTTTATGAGATATTTATACCAAGATAAAGGATTTTTTTTTTTTTTTAAATTTTGCCGACGACCTCTTATCGCATGACATGTTTGCCGGAAAAATAACACTTACTAGTCTCCGGCTGTCACGTGACATGCCCGCCGGAAGAATAGCTCCCTCACTATTTGTCCGGTCGCCGGACATGTAGACACTGCCTCTCATTAATCATTTGTACCATAGAATAGACATCTAATTTCTTACCATTTATTATTTATGAAATAAGGGCAAGGGGCCTATTTAGTACAAGTAATTTTATTATATGTAATGCAGTGAACCAAGCTTAAAATTTATGGTATAATTAATGTCCTTCAATTTAAATTCTATTTTTATTTCAACCGTTCACTTTACTTTCAGACAGAATATTGAGGAACAATAACCCCGAAATTACCTTAGCTGAAATTGTATTGTGCTTTGAAAGACAAGGAATTAATCTCATAGATTTTCATAAGCCAACGTTTTCTGTAACAACTCTGCCTCGTTACACATTGAATCTTTTTGAAGGAGACCTTTCGAAGTTGGAGAGTCCATCAGATATTTTTAGCAGCTCTTCTCATCTAATGTCCTTACCTATTTGCAAGTTTTATCATTTGAATAAAACATGCAGGTTTGGTAAACATTGTAGATACGCCCATTCCAGTGATAGACCTCCATCCTTAATAACAAAAATTAATCATGAAGAATTGTTAAAAGACCAAGCTTCACCTGTGCCAGCTTTGAAAGAGTCTAACCCAGAATCTCAAATAGCCTGTTGCTTGAACAAAAATGAAACTTCAATAAGCAGAGATCACCTGGATGAGAAAAGCACTGAGGATTCAACACATCCCACAAATGAAACAGAGAATACGTATAGAAAGGAAAATGCAGCTATAAATAGAGCCTCAAACAATAAACCCACTCGCAAGCCTCTTTGCCACTACTTTCTTTCCTATGGAAACTGTAGATATGGAAATGATTGCAGATTTTCCCACCAGCTACCAAAGTATGATGATAAGCGAAATAATGGATCAAGGCAGAGACAGAGGAAGGAACATGAAGTTGCTCCTCGCTTCAGACAAGACAAGATGCAAAATGTTCCAGAATGTGTAAATGATGAGACAATTCCTAATGCTAATGAAATTCCAGCTCTTGTGACTGGGCAGGGGTCTCAAAATCCCCCTAAGAGACCCAGCTCCAAGAATGTCAGGCCGGAGGATGAGAACCAAAAGATTTGCCCATATTTTCCTTCAGGTCGATGTTGGCGTGGGGAACGCTGCAGGTTTAAACATCTTTCAGATTTGAAATCTGAATATGACTCTAACTCAGAGAATAAGCATTACAGAAGAGAGGTATATAGAAAAGGTCACAATGACAAATCCAAATCACAGGAACCAACAAGAAACCAAAGAGATGTTAGGGATGATAATCGGCAGACTGTATCGAGTGACAGACCACAATATGAAACGAAAAGGCGGATCATCTCAAGGCCCCTTGGTGTTAAACAGATTTTCACATATAGTGAGTTAGAAGATGTAGGATTGGCTAAAGTCCGAGAGATGGAAATAAACATAATCAAGAAGCGATTTCCAAAAGATAAGATTTCTATCAATGATGGAGAAAAATGGACAGCAAGGTTAAGCTTTTCTCCAACAGATCCAGACTGGGTGAGCTGTTAGATACATTTGTATTTATAAGCTTATTGGGTTTTTTTTTTAAGTTTTAAAAATCTTAGTATGGACAACCTTTTGTTTTTCATTTGTACGGGTACCAAGGAAATAGCTTTCTATTTAAAACTCAAAATTTAAGAATGCATCTTTATAATATGGTAATATTATGTTGAAAAAGTGTTTAATTTATAAAAATGTGTTACTTATATTTGAATTCTTTCATTTACAGCCATTTGATGTTTCTGTTTTTGAGCTTCTTTTTGGTGTGCCAGAAGATTATCCAAAAAAGGTTAGAGTTTATTAGCTTCACAAAAATGCTGGACTATATTTTTTAAGCAGAAAAACAAATATCAAAATAATTCTCTTAATTAAAACCTTATACTGTTTGTTGTTAAGAGGAACACGTTTTCTAAAGAACATATAAAGAATATGGGCATAGAAGAAAAGAGAGGCATATTTGAAGCTTAAGAAATATAGAAAACGATTTATTTTTTAAAATGTTGATTGTATTATGTGTGTTTTTGTATTAATAATCTTTTTAATTGATTCTTTCCAATCTAATCAGTTGATGACTATCACACTACCTGTTGACCAGGATTTGCCAGAAACTGTTAGAAGGTATATTATAACCATTTTCTTAAAACAATGACATATGTAGCTTAGAGTACCGTAATTATAATAATTTACTCATGCCACTTTAAAAAAACAGCAGAAATCTGTTTTTTATGTTAAACTTCTATAAAGACTTTGAGGAAAATATAGTTTGTTACTTTGGTTATTTTATTTTGTTGAAATTATGGTAAAATTAACTTTCTCTCAAGAAACAAAGGATTGAACTTATTCACTGTTTTAATTTTTTTTCTGCATCAGATATGTTGAAATCAGCATTAAGGAATGGCTTGAGGATAAAAAGGAACAGCTATCTTCAGCTGGTAAAGTTGAGCTAGTTTTTAGGCCATTCCTCCGCTGGTTCGACAGAAATATTGAAGATATTACAACAGAAGCTCTTCAACAGGTAATTAGTTTAAGGACACAATAAATTTATAAGGTTACTCCCATTTTGTTTTTAAAAAATTCTTTGTTTGAAGTACGATATGGTATTTTGTATTTTTTGCTTGCCTTTAAATTTGATGCAACCTGTGTTGGTTAGTAAGTATAACAATATGGTTACAATTTTTTTTTTCAGCTGAAACGAGAACTTTTAGCCAAGGCTGCTGGGTTTGAATTCATACCAGCCAATAGGTTGAAGGACAGATTCCGCACCAAAAGTGAATCAAGTGAAGAACATGAACACAGCCTGTCGGAGAGTGAGCAGAGAGGAGGAGGCAGTGGCGACGAAGATGATTCCAGCGAGGAAGAGGATGATTCCAGCAATGAAAGCACAACGGATGAAAATAATGATGGAGGGGCGAATGTGTCACTAAGTCTTGATCCAGATAAAAAGGGCACAGAGCTAGCCCTGCAGCACCTGCAGCTCAGAGAAAATGCTTCTGCCCTTATGTTTGAGACACTGAAACTCATCCTTCAATGCCAGAGGTGCAAGAGCCATTCTGAACTGCATGTACCCCAGAACAAGGTGATGTCCCTCAGGTGTGAAAAGTGCAACCAGAACCAGTTTGTTAACTACCGTCCTGCACTGATCCATCAGTTTTCCTCAGTGGTTGGTTATCTGGATGTGGATGGATGCCAGGCTTTTGATTTAATTTTCCAAGACTGTAGACTGGTTGTCACTTGCTTGGGTTGTAGCAAGCCAACAAGAATCAATGTGAGTAAAGCAGATTTAAATTGTTTGTTTCATTGGACACCAGTAAAATAAAATTCCATAAGACAAATTATTTTATCATAAACATCGATTGGGTTATTGTATATTTTTTTTCCCACAGGGGCTCGTCACAGGGCAAATGATTGATGGGTGGTGCCAGGCCTGTAATGCCAGATTCAAACTAGCAACCGAGTCTGTTAAATTTTCCCAATTTGTCCCATCAGGAATCGACACAAGTGAGTTTCAATACATTTTAAAACTTGGTGAAAGGTTAATGAGATTAAGACATTTTTTCACATTTAAAATAAGTTACTTTTACTTTCCAAAGCTTTCATTTAATTTACCAACTAGTAACATTTACGATTTAGTAATGAAAATAATCTTAAAACATTTTTTTATCTTCAAATTTCAAGCCGTTAAATAACTGAACATCTTATCATTTTTAATTACAAGAGCATAGCACTAAGGATAGTAATTTTATATCAAAGTTTGGATTCAGTTCATGTTATCTCAGTAAATATTCTATAATCAGCCAATAAAGTAGTTGAAGTTCCTTCAACTAAAACTAAAAAACCACCCAAGGATCCAGCCATTCGAGAGGGCTGCCCTCTACCAGAGTTTGGAACTTGCAAGCACTATAAGCACAGTTACCGCTGGTTGAGGTTTCCTTGTTGTGGGAAGGCATACTCTTGTGATGTCTGCCATGATAAGAAAGAGGATCATGAGATGATACTGGCTACCAGAATGATCTGTGGACACTGCTGCAAGGAACAGGTTATTTTTTTTTTGTAAATCTGTTAAATAAGCTCCATAAAATCAATTCTGAACCAAAACTTCATATATTTTAGTGTTTAATTTTGTTTACTCTATATCTGTAATTGCAAATTTATTTTTAGAGCATTCTAAAGTGACTTCCTTGGAAATGTTAAAAATAAAAGCTAATAGAATGCTTGTGTCTCTACAGAATTACTCCGGCTCAAGACCTTGCATTAGTTGCAAGCAGCATCTCACCAAAATAAGGTCAGCCCACTGGGAAGGTGGGTCGGGCTGCCGTGACAAGATCGCAATGAGTAAAAATGACCAGCAGAAATACAAGAACATGAATAAGACTCTGTCCAATCACAAAAAGAAGGTAGAGACTGGCGCGTCCAAGAAGAAAACCACAAAACTAAGACATGTCTAATTGTTTGATTGCTCATTTTATTCATCTCAGTTGTGTTGACCAATGGTTGACTTTCTTGTTATTCATAAAAATGTTAACATTTATGGAGTGTAAATTTTAATTTATAATCTGAGATGACCTAAATTTAAGTCTTTTTGATAACTTACCAAGATAACATAACTGTCCCTTGAAAATTAACTTGACATTATTTTTATTACTTCCCCTTCAAATATTTTTATGCATTTTATAATTTTATATTTTTTTATGTGGAATTTTTTTTTTTTTTATATAATTATTAACTTTTGAATTAGGTGTTAATGCCTTTTTATTTATTTATTTTTTTTGTTGCTCTTTTGTTAGTTTACAGATGCAATTATCTCTTTAGTTATGAAACATCATTTTCTACAAAAAAATATAAAGAATTAAAGATTTATAACAATAGTTTCGGGTTTCTTTGTTCATTAATTTTCAGTTGAATCGATGCTGGTGTCATAAAACTAGGCACTCATTTTAAATATGAAAGGGGCCATTAAAACTCGTTGTTATTGATACTTTTTTAGATTTTTGGATGACTAGAAATGAACATTTTGAAAAATAGAATTTTATTATTACCGGTACTACAAATGTTATTGATATTGACCATGAAGCCTTTCAGTTCTCAATAGAAACTCAAAAGACTATAATACTTTTTGAATCTGGTGTTTATTTTAATAGGTGCTCAGACAAAACATTGACATAACAATTTTATTGGGGAATTATTGAAATTTTTTGGTGTCTGAACAATTCTTTTGCAATCACTTTGATTCCTGTTAACAAGTTTGGTTGATGGTAAAGCACTTTTCCTGTCTCATGAAACAGGCCACACCTCGAATCAAAGGAATTATTTAGGAGTTGTTTATTGTTGTTGTTTTTTTCTACTCCTGCACCTAAAAAAAAAATCTAGACGCCATCAATGCCATTATTATATGGTGCGTTTTTATTTATGTAAAGCGAAGCCCTCTCATGCGGCCCGCAGAAAACCATTTTCTCTGCGGAAAAAATTACAGAAATTTACTTGTATCCTGCCAAGATCAGACACCGCTTACTTGAATGTTAGGTTTTTACCGAATTAAAATAGAGACGTGCAGTAGTGCGTTATGTCTTCTAACCGATTATGACTTGGTGAAACCTTATTCGCTGCTTAGTTTTCTACTTCCTTTCACAGTCAATGAGATGATATAACGCCATCTAGTGGCGGAGCTTTGCCCGCCGTGGCCGTGTTGCAGACATGGTCGAAAACTTTGTGACTCAAATAGCGAAAAATGTAAGCAAGTTTCGCCAATTTTTAATTGCAATGGCTGAATCGCTGGACAGCTGTTCCACCTCTCAAATGCTTGTGTTCGAAGACATGAAAATAACACAAGAGCTGGCTTCCCTACATAGCATGAATGACACTGTTACCGAAGAGGATATATTCAATGAGTTGAAAAAAACATTTGCTGATTATAACTTGGACTGGTGAAGTCCTCAGTTACCTGACTGTTGATAAAGGAAAGTACATGAGAAAGGCTTGGTTGGACAAGTGAAGCAGATGTGTATTGAGAAAAAATTCTGCAACCAATGTTCCTGCACTGTATTATTCAGCAGAAAGCTTTGTTTGAAAAATATGTGGACGTTAGCAGCGTACTGAATCCTGTGATCAAGAGGGTTATATTAATAAGGGCTCAACCATAGACTGTTCAGAGACATGTCAAAAGTTACAGACACAGAATCGCAAGATTTATTATATTACACAGCAGTAAGATGGCGAAGTTGTCAGAAAGTTCTGAGCAGAGTATATAAGTTGAGAAACGAAAAAGGTGACTTCCTGAAAATTAAAGGCAAGTCAGCCCCCGAACTGCTGTTTGATAGTTCATGCGGCCCTCGGGCTGAAAAGTTTGGAGACCCTTGATGTAAAGCATGGTTTTTCAACTAAGAAGATTAAACTACTTGTTTCTTAGTTAGAGTTCAAACATCTCATTAGTGTATTATTTCAATGCACTGACGCTATGAACAAACAATAGGATCAATATCCTTTGAGAAATTGTTGCTTTGTTGCCAAACCTGGGATAAATGCAAGTATTGAACACCTTGCTTCCCCCACCTACCCCCCCCCCCAAAGCATGTGTATCGGTATTGAAATGCCACAAAGTATTGAACACCTTGCTTCCCCCACCTACCCCCCCCCCCCCAAAGCATGTGTATCGGTATTGAAATGCCACAACCTTCCCTCTCACGTGGTGTCCACTAGGTTTGCTGTCCTGGGTTATCACACCACCTTCCCTCTCACGTGGTGTCCACTACGGTTGCTGTCCTGGGTTATCACACCACCTTCCCTCTCACGTGGTGTCCACAACAGTTGCTGTCCTGGGTTCTCACACCACCTTCCCTCTCATGTGGTGTCCACTACGGTTGCTGTCCTGGGTTATCACACCACCTTCCATCTCACGTGGTCTCCACTAGGGTTGCTGCCCTGGGTTATCACACCACCTTCCCTCTCATGTTGTGTCCACTAGGGTTGCTGTCATGGGTTCTCACACAACCTTCCCACTCACGTGATGTCCACTATGTTTGCTGTCCTGGGTTCTCACACCACCTTCCCTCTCACGTCGTCTCCACTTGGGTTGCTGTCCTGGGTTCTCACAGCACCTTTCCTCTCATGTGTTGTCCACTAGGGTTGCTGTGCTGGGTTCTCACACAACCTTCCCTCTCACATGGTGTCCACTAGGGTTGCTGTCCTGGGTTCTCACACAACCTGCCCTCTCACGTGGTGTCCACTAGGTTTGCTGTCCTGGGTTCTCACACCACCATCCCTCTCACGTAGTGTCCACTAGGTTTGCTTCCTGGGTTCTCACACAACCTTCCCCCTCACGTGGTGTCCACTAGGGTTGCTGTCCTGGGTTCTCACACAACCTGCCCTCTCACGTGGTGTCCACTAGGTTTGCTGTCCTGGGTTATCACACCACCTTCCCTCTCACGTGGTGTCCACTACGGTTGCTGTCCTGGGTTATCACACCACCTTCCCTCTCACGTGGTGTCCACGACGGTTGCTGTCCTGGGTTCTCACACCACCTTCCCTCTCACGTGGTGTCCACTACGGTTGCTGTCCTGGGTTATCACACCACCTTCCATCTCACGTGGTCTCCACTAGGGTTGCTGCCCTGGGTTATCACACCACCTTCCCTCTCATGTGGTGTCCACTAGGGTTGCTGTCATGGGTTCTCACACAACCTTCCCACTCACGTGATGTCCACTAGGTTTGCTGTCCTGGGTTCTCACACCACCTTCCCTCTCACGTCGTCTCCACTTGGGTTGCTGTCCTGGGTTCTCACAGCACCTTTCCTCTCATGTGTTGTCCACTAGGGTTGCTGTGCTGGGTTCTGACACAACCTTCCCTCTCACATGGTGTCCACTAGGGTTGCTGTCCTGGGTTCTCACACAACCTGCCCTCTCACGTGGTGTCCACTAGGTTTGCTGTCCTGGGTTCTCACACCACCTTCCCTCTCACGTAGTGTCCACTAGGTTTGCTTCCTGGGTTCTCACACAACCTTCCCCCTCACGTGGTGTCCACTAGGGTTGCTGTCCTGGGTTCTCACACAACCTGCCCTCTCACGTGGTGTCCACTAGGTTTGCTGTCCTGGGTTCTCACACAACCTTCCCTCTCACGCCGTGTCCACTAGGGTTGCTGTCCTGGGTTCTCACACAACCTTCCCACTCACGTGGTGTCCACTAGGGTTGCTGTCCTGGCTTCTCACACCACCTTCCCTCTCATGTGGTGACTAGGGATGCTGTCATGGGTTCTCACACAACCTTCCCACTCACGTGATGTCCACTAGGTTTGCTGTCCTGGGTTCGCACACCACCTTCCCTCTCACGTGGTGTGAGAACCCAGGACATAATTTTTATGGAATAAATTTTATTCCGTGGTGAGAGTTACTTTGATCCCTCTCTTCCCGAGATAAGCAACACCCCGGGAAATGAGAAACCTGGTTGTCTACCTTCTTCTCCGGACTGAACAACAGGTCCTTCCACCACAATCACTCCATCTCGGTCCTCTGACCCCTTAACTCCAGCCCCTTCCCTGCCACTACTGACTATCTACTGCAGCCACTACATATCACTATTATTGTTAGTTCAATTGAAAGTAAGAAGTTGGCATCGTTGAAGTAAACAAACCTTTATTTTTTTTGTAGCCATCAGATACTGGCGATGAATAACATAATACAAAGTAAAGATGGAAGTAACTTTAACTTTTAAAAAAAAAGAGAAAAAACACACAACATATCCTGGAATGTGAAAATTTCGTTAAGTTATCAAGCAGTCAAACCCATGTGCAGTCTTAACCAAGCACTCTCACTCTTCCTTACACTTATACAAATGAAGTTTCTTTGTTTTACGAGTCAAGACCAATCAACTGTCATAAAGACATCACTGAGCTGATAAACAGAATAATACGGCGATGCACACCCCTGGCAAGACGTTGCCTTCTATAAACTATTATAGATAAAGATATTATTGTTGGAAAAACTGACATTGGTAACAATGGATACTATTTTTATGACCAGAGCAAATCAACGTTATGATTTAATTTTGTATTTCTGCGCCCAGTGTC